AAAAAAAGTCACCAAAATAACAAAAAGAAATTGCAATAGTTGCATAAATCAGTATGACTTATAGTAAAGTATTAAGCTTCATGAAATAGGAGGAAGAAAACTTTGAAGAATAAAACACACTGAATAAAAAACATAATTAATGTATTTGAATTTGACTCCCCTATAGCGGAAAAAAACCTACAAATAATAGTGGCACATATAGAAAATTTGTTTACGAAAGCACCAAATATTATGAATTCAACCATTCCAGCAGCATTATGAGTTGTGAACTGAGAAGCGCAAGAGTAGTAATGTCGCATTGCAATTGAAATCAATTTTCTTTGTCTATTCTTTCTTCTTTTGGTGCCTTAGAATTAAGTGTTGGATTTTAAAAGGTGTGAATGAAAAATGAAGAGTTGTAACTTTTGTCAAAAGTTGTGACTATTGTAAAATATTGATTTAAGTCATCTGAGACCCCTTAAAGTTGTCCGCATAATTCACTTAGACACCTTAACTAGAACTTGTACCTGTTGAACACTTCTACCCTTCCATATTTGAACATTTTTGCCTAGGTGACACATTGTTTGTGATTCACATCCTATAAGCGCGTGAAATGTATTAAATTGGGCTTTTTTGTGGAAAAAAATATTATTTCTTCTTCATCTTCTTTGGCATCCCTTCCTCCATCGCAGTACCATCTTGCCGCTACCACCATCGCCACTACACACCCTTTTTCTTCCTCTTGTTTTCTCCGGATACTTCAGCTCTTTTACCTCCATTGTTGTTATTTTTTGGCCCCGTTGTCATTCATATTAGGATTGGCTGTACCACCATTGAAACCACCATTATCACCAACATTTTCATCATGTTTAATTTGTAAAGGCTTTAAGTTTGAAGTTTGTCTCTTTGCTGTTAATGTAGTAATTTGGTGTTAAATTGATGTCCAGTTGTTTACATTTATTGGAGGATTTTTCTATTTATTATTTGCTTTGCTTAAATTTTTATTGAAGTTTTTTTATTTGTCATGAATGTGTTGTTTTTACTTTAAATTGATGTATATTGGCAGAATGTAAGGATGTTGTTCATCCAAATAAGTTAATTGGTTATGAAACACAAAAGAAATTTGACATAACTCTATTTTTTCCGACAATGGCAATCGGTGCTCATTAATTTTCCGACGAGCTTTTTTTTTCATCTTTCTCTACCTAAAACGAGGTGAAGAAGTAAATAGGCTGATGAAAAGGAAGATTTGTCGTGTTGGACATGGTACTGTACAGGGAGAGGAGGGTCGCCATGAACAAGGTGGTATTGTAGAGGGAATTGTGAATTTTGGGCTTCGGTGGAATGCAGGGGAAGTGGGGTGGAAGTTTCAGTTTTCTTTTTACTTTAAAATAATTTCCTTTTCCTTTACTTTATAATATAGTGTTTAAATAATTTTTTGGATTAAAAAATAACACAGGTCACTATTTAATTAGTCAAATTGATACGTCATCGCGAGTGTATTTCACATATTTTCTACTTTTAGCTTATTTTCAAAAAAATGTTCAAATGGTTCAAATTCGGAATGGTAGAGGTGTTCAATAGGTACAAGTCTTAGTTGAGGTGTCTAAGTGAATTATGCGGACAACTTTAAGGAGACATAAATGACTTAAGCCTAAAATATTATGACTTTTGTGAAAAGTTGTGACTTTTGTCAAAAGTTGTGACTTTTGTCAAAAGTTTTGACTTTTGTCAAAAGTTTTGACTTTTATTAAAAGTTGTGACTTTTATGAAAATATCTAACTTTTCTAAAGACTTGTGACTTTTATAAAAAGTTGTGTCTTTTCCGTAAGGTTGTGAATTTTAAGAAGGGTTAAAATATAAGAATCCTGATTTGTGAGGGTGTGAAAAGTTGTGACTTTTCCGTAAGGTTATGACTTTTAAGAATGGTTAAAAAATAAGAATCCTAATTTGTGAGGGCGTGAAAAGTTATGACTTTTCCGTAAGGTTATGACTTTTAAGAATGGTTAAATAAGAACCTAATTTGTAAGGGCGTCACATAGGCGGATCTAAGATTATTATATATATATATATATATATATATATATTTTGAAAATGTCCAAACACATACATATCCTTTCTAACTTGTCCGTATTTTATTTTTTTTACATTCTAACTCAATCGAGTTTTGTTTTAACCCTTCAACTTCATTTTCAATGTACCATCTAAACACAAAATATTGGCGGAAAAGTTTAATGAAATTATTCACCTTTTAAAACACGTGAGAAATTCTTCTTATGTTAATATTCGATATTCTTATCATTCACAACCTTCTACCCTATTTATTTCTCCATCTTCTCTTCAACCCCATTTTTTCCTTCATCGACTTAATTTACTTACCCATTTATTTTCTTCACCTACCTCATTTTGTATATCTCTGTATGCAAAGATAATATTCTTTTTATTTTAATTTATATTATCTTTTTTTTTAATCTAAAAGTGTAAACTATCAATTATATTCTACGTTATAAAAGACTAAATAAAATATTACAATACTGAGTAAAGAGTTAGATTGAGGAGAACAATGTCATATAAAAATTTGAATTATAATTAGCCGAATGATGTCAAATATTTTGTTGATGCCACATAAATTTAAAAAGATGGAGATTCATAGTAACATAAACTAAATTTTATATTAACTTGTATCACTAATCACTCTCAGAAATAAATTTTGTAATCAATTGTAGCTAATTAATCTATTTTCTTATATTACTTAAAGATACTAACTTGATTTAATTAAAGTAAATACAATTTGAATGACTTGGAGAAAATAAAATACATGACGTTATTTAAATGAATATATAAATCTTTTAACCCTTTTAATGTTAGTCTAACTTATGCTAAACATTTATACTGGGTACAACTTTTTGTGATTAAATGGTACACGAGTTAGAGGATTAAAATGAAACAAGACTGAGTTAAAATGCTAATATAGATTTTGAGGCAAATTAAAGAGGTTGTATATGTGTTTGGTGATTAAAAAATTTTGTATTTTCAAATCCTCTTAACCACAAAATAAAAAATATTGAAGGAAGAATTATTATTTTTCAAATGAGATAGAGATTTCCTTGCGTTTCGGCGATACAACTGAGACTACACACAGAAACATCATTTCCTCAAGTATAATTCAAAATGCATTTTGAGAAAATCCAAGATGGCACATGAAATTCTGAAGAAATTACCCGAAGATGTGATTCTTTATATACTTTTAAGGTTTCCAGTAAAATCACTCATGCGATTTCAGTGCATATCTAAAACCTGGTACATTCTCATTCCATCCTCCACATTCATCAACCTCCATCTCAACTGCAGTAAAACTGCTAAAGAAGAATTCATTATCTTCAAGCGCTCTTTACAAGTAGATGCTTTTCAACATAAAACTACATTGTCTTTTCTTTTTGGTGATGATCTTAACCCCGTTTCACCAGATCTAGATGTGCCATATTTGGAATCCACTTTTGTTAACAATTATGACCAATTTATTGGACCTTGTCATGGTTTAATAGCTTTGGTTAATATGATTAACACCATATTATTTAATCCAGCTACTAGAAAGTATAGGTTGCTACCGCCTTGCCCTAGTGATGTTCCACAAGGTTTTCGATGTTCCATTGATGGTGTTGGGTTTGGATTTGACTCGATAGCAAATGACTACAAGGTAGTTAGGATTTCTAAAGTTTATAATGATCCTCCTTATAGGGACCCATATTTAAGAGAGCAAAAAGTTGAGGTATATGATATGAGCACTGATTTCTGGAGAGAATTAGAGAATATTGATCAAGATATGCCTAGAATTTATTGGGCACCTTGTTCTATGGTATTTTACAAGAGTGCTTGTTATTGGCTTGCAATTGGATCCAAAGACAAAATGATAATTCTCTATTTTGATATGGGTACAGAGATTTTTAACACTATTAATATGCCTGATACTTGTAATTCCTACAATGGACCACACTATGGTTTAGTGGTCTTAAGAGACTCTATAACAATGCTTCGTTACCCTAATCCAAATCCGGAATATGATCCAGCACAAGATTTAATGCAAATTTGGATAATGAAAGAGTATGGGTTATACGATTCCTGGATGAAGATATACACAGTTAGACCTCTTATTGAATCTCCATTACTAATTTGGAAGGATTATCTGATGTTTTGCGAAAGCAGAGAGGGTTCTTTAATTTCCTATGATCTAAAGTTGGATAAAATCCAAGAATTCAATTTACAGGGTTGTCCGACAAGTTTGAGAGCAATATGTTACAAAGAAAGCATGATACAGATTCCATGTGAAAGCAAGGATAGTGCACAAGTTCAATTTTTCTAGACAAGCTACAACTCTTCCAATTTAAGTTGAATATAATTAGTCCATATGTCCGTACTTTGAAGGATTGTTAAATATATTTATTTTATTAATGCATCAATGGTGTTCATGGTTCGGTTTGGATTGGTTATTTAGTTAAAATCAAAATCAAACCAATTTAATCAATTTTTAAATTTCTAAAACCAAACCAAACCAAATCAAAAACATAACCGCCGGTTTGGTTAATGTCGGTTTGGTTCGGTTTTCTCAGTTTTTTTTCGATTTTAAAGTAATAAATTTGTTGAGGACATACACATATCGATAGACACAAACACTTAGTATATGGATAATTCACAAAAAAGCTATGACACAAACAAAGTGATTCATCCAATGTACCAAGTTTCAGAAACTAAAACAACTCATTGTCAATACTATAAAGTTGGGAAGTTCACATACGAGTGGTCTGATCTTGAAGAATTAAGGAAAATCATTCCTAAGCAATGTCAGGTGAAAGGAGAGTGTCAGATTGGTTTGTTTCGGAGTAAACACATTCTTATTCGTCTGATCCTACTGGAGGATTTCGTTAACCTTATCTCTAAGGGAGATTTCTATATCACATGTAAGGATGGGTACTCGTATCTGATGCGGACTCTGATCTATGACTCTAGATTTAGGGTTAATGAAGAAACATCAATGGCCATGACATGGATTTCTTTTCCTAACCTATTACCTACTTTCTTTGTCAAAGAGTGTCTTTTCTCCCTAGCATCGGCAGTTGGAAAACCTATCCATCTTGATCAACCAACTATAAACAAGACAAGACCTAGTTGTGCACGCGTGAAGGTGCTGGTAGATCTTAAAGGTGATTTTCCTAAAGCTGTGCAAATGAACATAGAAAATGTGCAGACAGGGAAAATAAGGTCTAATATGGTTGCTATTTAGTATGATTACGTTCCTAAATACAGTGTTGAATGCAAAATGCAAAGGCATAACAAAGAGAATTGTAAAGTGGTCAATTTTAGGAATAATGTAGAGCAAAATGCGCAACATACACAGGACATAGCACAACTCAAACACGAGCCGCAAGCTGCTAAAATTCAAAAACTGAAAAACGGAGGAGACAGTACACTTTCAAGTGGGAAAGTAGTGGGAGACCCTAGTAATGGGAATGTGGTAAGGGATAGAAGGGGAAAAACAAATACAGCCCCTCAGATAACTACTGTAGTGGAGAACAAGTTTGATGCTCTTGCTCAAGAGGAAAACACTCTGGAAGGCATCAGTACATCAAAGACTGATAATATAGAAATTAATGTTATTAGTAATAAAGGGGATCCGACTCAAGACAAAGGAAAATAAGGAGTGATAATATCAACCAAGGAGTGGATCACAAAAGCATTCAAATCAGTCTTGCAAAGTGATGCTCAACGGTCTTCTATGCATACAATCAATAACTTTGTAGAAAGTGATGATAATGAGTCTGCACTGAAAAGCAAAGAGCATGCATTAGAGAAAAACAATCAGCTAGAAGCATCTCAAAGTAATAAAGTAAGAAACAACGGGGATAAGCAGAAGCCACAAAATATAGATGATGGGAGAAAGAACATGGACATGAATAAATGTCATGAGAAGCATAGAAAGCAACAGGGAGAAAAGATGAAGGAAATGCAATCTGTAAACTTAGCTACGACATCTACAGATCTAAATGTTAACAGTCCAGAGAAGCATGAAGAGCTACACACTACTGAGGATAAGCATATATAATGAAGACATGTATGCAGTAGTGATATCAAGGGATTCAATTTATAAGGGTTACAAAAGTCCAGAGAAACATGATATGGTGCATATGATTAATGAACAACAACAAGAATTTTCTAAAAGTATCATTAGTGCAAATACAATTGTTCAGTGTCGTAGCAGCAATAGTATGGGTACGACAAGTGAAAATCAGTGTACTAAGAGGGATAAGAATATGGTAATATTGGTAGTTCCTACAATATTACAGTCTGATGAAGACGAAGTAGTGAGGGTCCATTCTGAATCACCGAATAAAGCTTTGCATGACATTCTCATTCATAAGGATGTATACGCAGAGCCAGAGGATCTAGCAGAACTTAAGGGGGTCGATTGTGCTACAGTTTCAGAATCAAGTGGAGAGTAGATTTATAATGATGCAGATATTTCCCCAAGGGTAATGAAGATTGTTAAATCAGCTAGAAATGACAATAAACAGGGTGATGGTGAATCAGCCCAACCTCTTCTAGTCCAACCAAAGAGACAGGTAATATCCTAATATTCCAAACATCAGTGAAGACTCTAATTTGGAATATTAGGTCAGTAAGGTCTCAACACGCATTTCAAAGAGTTCAAATGTTGCATAACTTTCACAAGGTTGCATTTGTTGCTCTGATGGAGCCTTTTCAGTCTGTTAGATCCATCAATAGATATAGAAGGAGACTAAGAATGCCTATGGTAACTCACAACATCAATGGAAAGATATGGATGTTTACTAATCATGGTTATGATGTTACAGTAGTGAAAAAACACAGAGCAATAACTCACTGTTCTAATGCTTGATCAAAATTCAACATTTAGCTTTTATGCAACATTTGTATATGCTAAGTGTGATAGTATCCAAAAATTAGATCTTTGGGATGATTTATATCAATTATGTGGTGGAATGGATAGACCATGGCTCATTGGAGGTGATTTCAATGTTGTTCTCAATGGGGAAGAAAAGATTGGGGGTCTACCTGTTGTGGCTATTGATTATGAAGACTTTAAGACTTCTATAGAGTCTTGTGATCTGTCCCAAGTGAATTTCAAAGGAAGTGCATTTACATGGTGGAATGATAGAGCTGGAAATGATTGTGTTTTGGAATGATTGGACAGAATCTTGGTTAACAATGACTTTCATAACATGTTCTCTCATTCTGAGGTTGAACACTTGGCAAGATCAGGTTCAGATCATGCCCCTATGTTGCTTACTTGTGAAGACAGAATTACCAGTAAAAAGAAACCTTTTAGGTTTTTGAAATTCTGGACAGAGCATGTAACATTCAAAGATGTGGTTAGGTTGAATTTGGATTTTACTACCTCTTTTAATCCCGTTTTAGATAAGAAAGATTAAAAAGGCACTTTCCATATGGAGTAAGGAAACCTTTGGGAACATTTTTCAGCAACTCATCATTAGAGAGGAGATAGCAAGAATTAAGGAGAAGCCATTTGAAGAATGTCCCACATGTGAGAATAGAAATATTATACAGAGAGCCAAAGCTGAATATAATAAATATCTTCATTTTGAAGAGATGTTTTGGCAACAAAAAATAGGGTATGAATGATTTGAAAGTGGGGATAGGAACACCAGACTCTTTCATAGTTTAGTTAAAGGGCGGAGACAGAAAATGAATGTGGCTAGAATTCAAAATTCTCAAGGTTCGTGGTTAGAGGAGGAAGAAGATGTAGCAACAGAAGTTGTCGAGCATTTTCAGAATCAATTTAAACAAGATAGGGATGCTACCAGTTTTCCCCTGCTATCTCATATAGCAGAATTAATCTCCAATGGAGAGAATACAACTTTGGGGGTCATTCCAGATGATGTAGAGGTAAAGAATGTTGTGTTCAGTCTTAATGGTGATAGTTCTAGTGGTCTAGATGGTCTTACAGGTAGATTCTATCAAGTATCTTGGGATATAGTAAGATCAGATATTATAAGGATGGTGTAGAAGTTCTTTGCTGGTAACACTCTTCCAAAGTCTATAACTCATACTAATTTGGCCCTTATACATAAGAAGGACAATGTTCAAACTTTCTCAAATATAAGGCCTATTAGTTTGAGTAATTTTGTAAATAAGATTTTGTCTAGAATCATTCATGATATATTGAAAAATATTCTTCCAAATCTAATATCTTCTAATAAATCTGGATTTATCAAAGGGAGAAATATTATTGAAAATGTCCTCTTGTCTCAGGAGTTGGTAACATACATCACCAAAAGAGGAAAGCCTGTTAATGTTGTCATAAAACTGGACATGGCTAAAGCGTATGATAAAGTATCATAGTTTTCTTATGAAAGTTCTCAGGAAGAAGGGGTTTTCATACAGATTTGTAGATATGGTTGATTTCTAATAATTATTACTCGGTATTGCTAAATGGTCAGTCTTATGGGTTTTTTCACTCCACTAGGGGAGTGAAGCAAGGAGATCCTCTCTCCCCAACCCTGTTTATTTTATCATCAGAGGTTCTTTCTAGAGCTCTTAATTCCTTATTTGATGATCCTCAATTCATAGGATACGGGATGCCTAAGTGGAGTGCTAATCTAAATCATTTGGCATATGCAAATGATACAATTATTTTTGCTTCAACTCATGAATATTCTTTGGGGAAAATCATGGATGTTTTGCAGGACTATGAGAAACAATCTAGTCAAAAGGTGAACAAAGATAAGAGTTTTTACTATTTGCACTAGAACGTAGCTGCTGGGAGTTCACTCCAGGTGGAATAATGTACATGAATGAGTAAAGGCTCTTTTCCTATTAAATATTTAGGTTGTCCAATCACTTACTCAAGGAAAAGGAAAGAACATTACACAGAGCTATTTGAAAGAGTAAGAGGGAAACTTCAAGTATGGAAAGGAAAGATGCTCTCATTTGGTGGTAAAGAAGTTCTTCTTACTAGTGTTCTTCAAAGTGTCCTTATTTATGTTCTTTCTGCTATCCCCCCCCCCCCCCCCCTAAATGTGTTATTACGGAACTGCATAGGATCTTTGCTAAATTTTTTTGGAGTAATAAGGAATCAGGTAGAAGTAAGCACTAGGCAGAATGGGCTAAGGTTTGTTTGCCAAGAGAAGAAGGAGGACTAGGTTTCAGATCTATGTTTGATGTTTCTCAGGATATGTATGCTAAATTGTGATGGAGATTTAGAACTCAAAATTCTTTGTGGTCTAACTTCTTATGGAATAAATATTGTAAGAAACAAATTCCTACTTTGGTACAATATAAAGGCGACTCTCAGGTTTGGAAACACATGTTGGAGAATAGAGAATGCCTAGAACAACACTTGTGGTGGGAACCCAAAGGGGGTACTTCTAATATGTAGTATAATAACTGGACCACTATTGGTCCCTTATACTTACACCAGTCTAACATTCACACTTGTCCCCCTATGAGATACATTGGAGAGTTTCTAACAGAAGAAGGTTAGGATTTTGATGCTTTACAAGATGCCTTACCAGTGTATGTTATGGAGCATATCAAGTTTAACATGTTTTTTGTGCAGCCAAGTGAACATGGAGATAAACCTTGGTGGACTAAGTCTAGTACAGGGAAGTCTAGTGTCAAAACTACCTGGGAGTTATTGAGACAAAAATCTGATAAGAATGAGGATTTAAAACTATTATGGATTAAGGGGTTACCATTTAAATTCTCCTTTCTAGGTTGGAGAATTTGGAATGGTAAAGTTCCTGTAGCAGGTTTAATGCATCTTTGGAATCCTACCATTTCTCAGAATTGTAAGTGTTGTTCTATTCCCGTAGAGGAGACTATTGAATACCTATTCCTTACATGAGAGGTTTCTATCAGAGTTTGGGATCATTACTTCAGAGCTGCTGGACTCCTAGGTTCAATGCTTAATCTGAAATAGACAATTAGAAGGTGGTGGTCCTCGGAAGGTAGCTATAGAATTTAAGTGATTATTCTGGTGTTCCTATTGCCATTTTGTGGTGCTTATGGAAGCGAAGGAACATTATTCGACATGGTGGTTCATTCTCAGAAAGTAAGGTTATTTGGGTGATTAATGACATTGATTTGAAGGTAATTAAAACCAGGTTCAAAACTTTAACTTATATAAAAAAAAAAAAAAAACCAAGTTCAAAAGGGATATTGGAAGAAATAATTGGCCTGATATCATTACTGATTTACAGGGGTACAAAAATACCTATAACATTAATATTGTGAGATGGATTCCACCCCCTTCGAATTGGGTGAAGTGTAATACTGATGGTGCATCTAGGGGAAATCCAGGACCTAGCTCTGCAGCCTTTTGAATTAGAGATTACTCTGGATCATTGATTGTGGCTAAAGGTTTCAAAATACAAGATACCTCTAATTTGGTAGCTGAAGCTAGAGCTATTAGAGAAGGTTTGGTTTTTTGTAAAGATCATCTTTTATCACATGTCATCATCGAAACAAATTCTATGGCCATGGTACAAATTTTGGATGGGGTGTGGGATATCCCTTGGAGTGTGACCTTGGAGGTCAACTCCATAAATTGCTTGAGGAGATCTTTATCAGCAAGAGTCAACATACCTTTCGGGAAGGAAATACTCTTGCTGATTATTTTGCTAACCTAGTTTTTGATTTTGCAGGTGATTATCAATTTTGCCATTTTCAAGACTGTGAGAAATATAGGAAAAGAATATTATTGAATTGTTGTTCTAATAATTACATAGAGAACCCTATTTATAGACACTATATAATACAATTCCTTACCAAATAGGAGACTATAAACTATTCCTAGTTTGTGTAGGATTGTGTTTTCCTATTCTATTCTAACACTCCCCCTCAAGCTGGTGCATACAAATTATATGTACCTAGCTTGTTACAAATGTAATTAATACGAGGACCGGTAAGAGACTTGGTGAAGATATCTGCAAGTTGATCATTTGACTTCACAAATTTGGTAACAATATCTCCTGAGAGTATCTTTTCTCTTACAAAGTGACAATCAATCTCAATGTGCTTAGTCCTCTCATGAAACACTGGATTTGATGCGATATGAAGGGCAGCTTGATTATCACACACAAGTTCCATATGACCGGTTTCTCCAAACTTCAGTTCTCCAAGCAACTGTTTGATCCAAACTAGCTCACAAGTTTCTACAACCATTGCTCGATATTCTGCTTCTGCACTGGATCGAGCAACCACACTTTGTTTCTTACTCTTCCATGACACCAAATTACCTCCAACTAAGACACAATATCCGGATGTAGAACGTCTATCAAAGGGTGATCCTGCCCAATCAGCGTCTGTATATCCGGTGATATGCTCATGGCCTTGATCCTAGAAGAGATGTCCTTTACCAGGAGCTGACTTTATATATCGCAGAATACGAACAACTGCATCCCAATGACTATCACAAGGAGAAGTCATAAACTGACTTACAACACTTACAGGAAAAGAGATGTCCGGTCTAGTCACAGTGAGGTAATTCAACTTTCCAACCAACCGTCTATACCTTTCAGGATTACTGAGTTGCTCCCCCTGTCCTGGAAGGAGTTTAACATTCGGATCCATAGGAGTGTCAATGGGTTTACATCCCATCATTCCTGTCTCCTCAAGAATGTCTAAAGCATACTTGCGTTGAGAAATAACAATACCTGATCTAGACTGAGCAACCTCAATACCAAGAAAATACTTCAATCTGCCAAGGTCTTTAGTTTGGAAATGCTGAAAGAGATACTGCTTCAAATTAGCGATACCAACTTGATCATTGCCGGTGATAACGATATCATCAACGTAAACAACCAAATAAATACACAGATTTGGTGCTGAATGCCGATAAAACACAGAGTGATCAGCGCCACTACGAGTCATGCCAAACTTCTGAATTACTGTGCTGAACTTTCCAAACCAAGCTCGAGGAGACTGTTTTAGACCATATAGTGACCGACGCAATCGACATACAAGGCTTCTAGACTCCCCCTGAGCAACAAAACCAGGTGGTTGCTCCATATAGACTTCTTCCTCAAGATCACCATGCAGAAAAGCATTCTTAATGTCCAACTGATGAAGAGGCCAATGACGAACGACCGCCATAGATAGAAAAAGACGGACTGAAGCTATTTTGGCCACAGGAGCGAAAGTGTCACTATAATCTAGCCCAAATATCTGAGTATACCCTTTAGCAACAAGGCGAGCCTTAAGCCGATTGACTTGACCATCTGGACCAATTTTGACCGCATAAACCCAACGACAACCAACAGTAGACTTACCTGTAGGAAGGGAGACAAGCTCCCAAGTACCACTCGAATGTAAAGCAGACATCTCATCAATCATAGCCTGCCTCCATCCAGAATGAGAAAGTGCTTCTCCTGTAGTCTTAGGGATGGAAATAGAGGACAAAGATGATACAAAGGCATGATGGGGTGAAGATAAACGATGATAACTCAAGAATGTATAATGGGGATTAGTATTTCGAGTAGATCGTATACCTTTTTGAAGTGCAATCGATTGGCTAGCAGGGGGCAAGGCCACAGTAGGAGCAGGGTCCGGCGCATGACATGAATCATTTGAGACTATTGCTGGACGAGGACGTCGATGATAAGTTAGGAGTGGTGGCACTATAACTGGAGATGGAGAAGATACCGTAGGTCCCTCAAAAGTCGGTACAGGTAAGACCTGAGGTATGGGTAAGACCTCAGAGATATCAAGATGATCAGAAGATGTGTAGTAAGGTTGAGATTCAAAGAATGTTACATCGGCAGACATAAAATATCGGCGGAGATCATGTGAATAGCAACGATACCCTTTTTGAACTCGAGAGTAACCAAGAAAGACACATTTAAGAGCACAAGGGGCTAATTTATCTTTTCCTGGGGCTAAGTTATGAACAAAGCATGTGCTCCCAAATACACGAGGAGGGAAAGAATAGAGATGTGACTGTGGATATAGTATGGAATGTGGAACCTGATTCAAAATAGAAGATGAGGGCATTCTATTAATTAAATAGCAAGATGAAAGGACTGCATCACCCCAAAAACGCAACGGAACATGGGATTCAATGAGGAGAGTGCGAGCAGTCTCAATGAGATGCCTATTCTTTCTTTCCGCTACACCATTTTGTTGAGGAGTGTATGGACAAGATGTTTGGTGAATAATTCCTTGGTGAGACATAAACTCCTGAAACTGGGATGATAAGTATTCTAAGGCATTATCACTACGAAAAGTACGAATAGAAACACCAAACTGATTTTTTTATTTCAGCAAAGAAACTTTTGAATATAGAAAATAACTCAGAACGATCTTTCATTAAGAAAACCCAAGTACATCTCGAATAATCATCAATGAAACTAACAAAATAACGAAATCCTAAGGTGGAACTGACTCTACTAGGACCCCAAACATCAGAATGAACTAATGAAAAAATAGACTCTGAACGACCCTCAGTACCACGTGAAAATGTGGCACGAGTGTGTTTCCCAAGTTGACACGACTCACAATCTAATTTGGACAAACTAGGCACCATCTGTTGCAGTTTAGATAGACTCGGATGTCCCAAACGTTTGTGAATGAGGTCCGGAGGATCTGTAACAGAGCATGCTGTGAAGGAATTTGAAGAGGTAAGATAGTAAAGGCCTTGTGATTCATGTCCTGTGCCAATCGTCTGTCCCGTACTGTGGTCCTGCATGAGAAAAAAATCATCAAAAAAGGTTATGCCACAATGTAGGGCACGTGTCAAACGACTAACAGATGCTAGATTAAAAAGGGGAACCAGGGACATAAAGAACAGAGTCTAGAGTGACAGAAGATAAGGGTGTGGCTTTTCCAACCCCTTTTGGTTTTGTTTGTATCCCATTGGCCAAAGTAATAGCAGGAAGAGATTGTGAATAAACAATATCTGACAGAAGTGATTTGTTACCAGAAACATGATCAGAAGCTCCCGAGTCCATGACCCATGATCCATGAGTATTAGACTGTGAAACACAAGCAAAAGAATTACCCGCAACAACATCATGTTGAACAACCGAAGCTACTTGTGGAGATATTTGCTTACTTGCTCGATATTGAAGGAACTCATCATATTCTGATTGAGCAATATGAGCATTATGGGATGGTCGATCAGGCGGAGCAACAAATGCTTCTTGTGAAGATGTATGCTTACTTGCACGATTACGAAGGAACTCATTATATTCCTTTAGAGTAGCAGGATCATAACTGGGTGGTGGACCATGCAAATTATGACATATGTCACGAGTGTGTCCAGACTTGTGACAATAACTACACTTGGATCGAGGTTTTCCAAGACG